AAATCTAACTTAGATCCAAATTTGGCTTAGATAGTCTGCAACAGCATTGGCCTCCCCATAAACATGAGAAAACTTCAACTCATGAATCTGGTCCATCAACATCTTGCAATCAGAAATAAAGCACAGCAAGTGAGCTCGAATTTGCTATCCCAAGGCTCCAACAGCATTCTAGCAACTTTGTAGTCTGTTTCAATACAACTTTTGTAAAATCCCCCGTTAACAACAATTGCCATGCGCTCGTGATGGCCCACAACTCAGTAGAAAAGCTTGTTGTGACTCCAACTTTCCTGGCAAAATCTAAGATCCACTTGCCAAGATCATCTCTGGAAATGTCGACACCAATTAAAAAGGGCAACTTAATTTGAATGCATAAGGCTCCGTTTTCAGTATAGTTTTGATTTTGGGTCTTTGTTTTATGTATATAGTAATTAGCATTATATTTGAATTAGATTTAATAAATTTAAATTTTTACAATAAATTTTAATTTTTAAATATAATAATAGTTACTAAATATATAAAAATTTAAAACCCAAAATTAAAATTATATTTAACGAAACCTTAGACTTAACTTAGTATGGTTACGATTATAAGTTCTGGTTTTAGTTTTTATTAATTTTATAACTTTAAATAAAAAAACCCATTTGCTTTTACATGTTTTTATAATATATTATTATGATTAGTAAAGAAATAAGAATAAAAACAATTTTAATATTATTAAACAGATAAATTTTTTTAATTGTAAAAATTAAAATTTGCTTTAAACAAATTTTAAATTTTTTACTTTTAATTTTAATTTTTAATAATTTTAAATTTTATAGAAATTTAAAACCACGAACAAAGCTTGAGCTAACAATTAGATTTGTAAAATTGAGTTGCTCAGCGCTCAGCGCCTAAACCCTGCATCATGGGTCGATTGGTCCCAATCTTATAGGCTGAGTTTAGATCCTCTTTTGAAAGTTGCAGTCGTTCAAAAAACTGAAACCCCCCCAACAACCCAAATGATCGAGCTGGGCTGAGCACCGCATGGAGTCAATGGACCTCACCCTCGCCTAGATTGCCTGGGCTGAGGCTACACCACTTCTTCTCTTTCTTCCTCATGGGCCGCACCGAACATGAGCAATATCCTTATCTCTGACCTGGACATACTTCAGTACTTCGCAGGCTGTACTGTATGTATGTTCAAACGTTGATAGCCATCCGATTCTAATCGGACGGCAAGAAATAAACTCAACTTTTCAACGTCATAAATTAGCTTTCTCAAACTCACCAGAAGATACGCTACACGTGGCGTATGGAAGCCACTCTGATGCCTATTTTGCAGAACTTTCCAGCATCATCTCCCCATATCTTTCCAGGACCTTCTCACATCAATCCGTATTTCTGCTATAAGTACCCATCGCAGCGGACCAAACTATCCAGCTTGAGTTTCCGACACGAAACCGACGATGCAGAAGGGAACAGGCGAGACAATGAGGACTGACGACAAGAGCATCGAGGACAAGAGAACTCCGCCGATCGTCCACGCTGTTAGCCATGAAGGCGAGACTCGGAAGATTGTGAAGAAGACGGGAATGAACCCGCGCCATCGACACACGATCAAGTACTTAGAGAAGAAGCTGGAGGACAAGGGAGTGTATCGTATGGAGAGGCACCCGGCCGACGGGCGAGGGATTGAGCAACAACCACCGAAGTCCGGTCACGGTGGGAAGTACACGTGGGAGGGTCCGGATGACTTAGCGGACAACGAGCTGATGGCAGCGCCGCCAGCGATTGACGAGAAGGATCCTAACTATGCAGACGAGGAGGAAGAGGAGAAGATATTGAAGGGTGAGGAAAGTGACGTGGCGGGGATGGTGGTAGGCGTGGTGGAGGTTGCGAAGGTGGCAGAGGAGAGAGAGGGAGTGGCTAGGGTTGAGGTTGATCCTCACTTGGAGGTTAACTGATGGAACATACTGTTCTTGCATGTAGATGTTGTCTGAACAATGTACTTCTATAACCAGAAAAGCTTAAACTGTTCTCGCTGTGGATTGAGGGCTTAATTGTTACAACAAAGTAATAATGGATGTATTTTTCCCTTCTTGAAAGATCTGTGACTGCGAGGGCTGAAAATTCCAATTCTTCTTCTTTTATTTTCTTTTTTTTTTTTTTCATTAATTTGGTTTTCAAAAGATCTATAATTTGGGTGCATAAATGATTGGATCAGAATATGAAATTTGTAATTCACAAGCAGCTGCTCTCCTTCGTGTTTATGCAATCTGGCTGCTAATATTTCTGGTATTATCTAATCAGACTCAGAATTATGATTATTACAGAGCAAGGTCAAGTCAAGAATGCCTTTAAATTTCATAATTAGCCCAGCCTACTTGTTACGCTTGTGTTTAAGGCATACCTGTTTCTCTTCTTATTTATTTATTACAAGTTCTTATGGGATAAGTTTCATTGTGCCTAATGTAATATTTCCCATTTTGTTCCTTGCTATGAGGGGTTTTGGTGCAAACTAAAGGTAAAAATCTATTTCCCAGCCTGCTGCAGAGATTATTGGATTCAGGATGAGAGAACTGAGGGGACTTTCAAGATGGTAAAAACTCTATAAAGGGATTGGGTTGGATGAAAATTCTAATTCTACTTAGCAACTTTCTGTTCTTTTATATGGTCCCATTATGGCCAGACATCGACTTGGTTATTAGGCCCAAAATTTGCATATCGGGACCTCTTGGGCCACAAGCGCTTTGGGTTTACAATGGTCCAATTTATTATCAATATGGTTTGCAGCTTTAAGCCTTTCCCCTAGATAAGATCTCCTTAGCTTGAATCATAGAATTGGATGGACAAGATGATCATGTGCTTAAAGTGTATTGTGTCAATGGTTGATGGACCTAACTCGTGTTAGAATCATTTTCCATCTTAACCCTGCGAGGGGTTGCATCTATAATCATGCAAGCATATAATTGAAGAGCAAGAAAAAGCTTGGATTTGGGTGGATGACAGCATCAGATGCCGGAACTATGTCCTTGTTGGTTTAGAATGATGTCTTTTTTTCTTTTTTTTTTTCATACTTGCTATTTCCACCGCCCAAAAAGGATGCCCCAACTTTTCTTATTAAGTCACAATCGGTTTTTGTATGTTTTTGGTAGCAAAGTTGCAATTTTCATAACTCATGTTGACATTGATAAATAAATTATTTTTGGTCTTGGACTTATATTATTTTGTTTAATTGTTAGGATTTAATTATATCAATGTCAATAATAAAAAGTGCTTAATAATTGCCAGTCAAGCAATGGCATTTGCTCAATTTAAAAGAAATTCCTCCTTACAATTAATATTGTATCTATTAATGTAGTAACACGTGTATATATATATATATGTGTGTGATAAAAATTTGTAAATAGGTAGAAATATCCTTGCACCTTATGAATAAAATTTTTATTGACTATTTAAAAAAAGAAAAAATAAAAAAATCGTTAGCATTTATGGTCCCACTTGCAATTATAAAAGTTAATTTATTATCGTCCACCCAAATTGGGTTGATGCAACTCAAAAAGTTAAGGGTCTAATTTGCCATGAAAGGATCGAATTTTAAGGGCTTAATTCTCAGTTTTCCCAATTGGTGCGTCCAGGCAGCATCAGCAGTTGTATTATTCACAATTTGCTGGATATACTGTGCCAACACTATTAAATTCTTATTTAGTTAATGTCACGAAGTTAATTGTTAGTGTGGTTGGGAGGTCCATTTCATAAAATTTAAGACAATGAAAAATTAAGGATGCTTAAGAAAAATACTGCATATATGTGAAAAGCATTAAAAAAAAATTCTTTAACAAAAGTCATTAGCCCTATCGTCATTATAAAAGAGTAAAAAGTTGTGGTTGAAATTAACATCAACCTCTAATCTGTCTACTCCAGAGGATTAACAACCCAACCTACAATAATTATCCGGATGATTAGTGTAAAAAAGAATCCGAAGCAATCACGATTTCTTTTTAAACATTGAGAAATTAGGGGAAGGAGTACTAATTAGGATTCTGACAGCATGATCTCATGATGCACCTTTACCAATGTAGCTAAGGCTGCAAGAACCTTTCTAATATTGGCAGATGGACAAACCAACAATGTTAAAGACAATGTCTATGTGCTAATACTACCTT